GAAAATTGCATGTGCATGAAAATGCAATTTTCCGCCAGAACACAACATGCACAGCAGTGAGTTGTCTTCACAGCAGCTCTTGTGGTCCCACTTGTCAGCACACCTATCACCATTTCGAGGGAATATGAATCACCAGCACCTCTCCACTCACACTCACTCTCTTCACTCTCCTATTCACTCTCTCTCTAGTTCATCACTCTCTCTCTAAACACCAAGAGCAAGAAGTAGGAGGAAGGATTGGAGTACATGCCAAGCAAAAAGACTATGGAGATCAAGTGAAGAGAAGGCCACAAGAGCTGGGGATTGACAAGGAAGAAGTCCTCTCTCCCTAGCAACTAGGAGCAAGGAGAAGATTTCAAGAAAGGGAGCAAGGGGGAAGAAGGGAGGTGAATCCAGCTTCTCCAACTTGTGGAGAGGCTCAACAACACCTCCTAGCTTCTCTGGTTAAGATGGATTCAAGTTCAACCATCAGTTCCACCAATAATCAAGAACTAGTGTTCATCACCTAGAAAACATCCCCTATGCACTAGATGATGTTTGGATGCAATGTAACAAGATTCAACTAGATGTGTTCTATAGAACCTATAAACACCCCACAAACACAGTTTCGCCATGCACAAACCTTAGGTGAAGATTTCAATTTCGAGATCTTAAACTGCACACACTGCATTCCGCCGGCCTGCTCACCGAACCGTCTGTGAGAACATTCACAGAGTTTCACAGTTAGCCTTTGCGGTCGATGTTCCCGCGGACCATCCGCGAGAACACCGGACCGACTAGTTAAAATGTTCAAACATTCACTCTGTGAACACCCCTCTCGGGTTTGGTTTTTCGGACCACCTGCCGCACTAATGGACCGTCCGACGATCCAACCCTTACAATTTTTCAGGAATGCTCTGGCGGACCATTCTTGCAGACCGACCGGTGCTCTCCCGGATCGTCTGCTGGGACATCGACAGAAGTTGATCAGCTACACTTCACACACATGTTATATTCTGTTGTAGCCCAAATGTTATTCATGATTATAAAGCATATCGTGTCATTTAATTCAATACATTGTACTCATTTCGCATCATGCATTCATAGGGGATGAGGTCTCCGACGAAGTCAACATCGAGGAGGCCCAAACTCTACAAGTGACCGACGAGCCGCAACCCAAGCAATCTCAAGGCAGGCACCTAAGCATTTCTAACTCTTTTTGCAGATTGCATGATGTGCCTAAGGTTAACTAAATGCATTGCTATGTTACGATATGACTAGAAATCCCAAGTTTGCACATTTGAGCTCTCATCCCTTGAATGTTATCCGCACCACTCAAACATTGGATGTTTAATTTGTTATTCGAATAAATCATGCTTAGTTTTCTTAAACGGTAGAAGTCGAGATGATGATGGGTTTCTCATCTCTCACGCGTTTTAGGGCAATGCTTGTCCACTAAAGCATCATAATACGGAGTTATGATCTAAAACTTGACCAAGATGTTGACAATGAATGTGAATGGTCAGCGAGGGGTTGGACCATGGCAAGACGGGTGAGGTCTTGAATGGAATAGCTTGCTAACCGATTAAGGACCGTGTATCCGTGGTAGCAAAACATAAACATACTTCTACAAACCACTTGTCATATAAGACACAGAAACAACGCGAACGAGACGGTGCGGACGGGCGCTATTACTTGATCTCGCGTGGCTAAAGACTCGTGACAGGGCTTGCATGAGGGCCAGGTCACGATGAGAGCGAGGCGTGGCGACGACGCGCACGGAAGGATGGACAGGGTCGACGATGGCAGAAGGGAGCCGAGTGCGGATGGGTGTCGGGAGGCCTAAGACGGGGCTGATGGACGGGTTCGGCAGCGGCTGGAGAAGAGAGCCGAGCCGCGGACAAGCTTCGTGGCGGAGACCGCGGTCGCTCGCATGACGGAGACCGCAGACTGCACTCGACGAAGGTACAACGACAGTCCCGGATGTAGACGGGCACGCGGAGCCGATGGGAACGTGTGATGAAGGGTCACAACGTCAGATTAGGCGCGACCAGATGGACCCACGATGGGCGGACCGAACAGTGATGATGGGTCAAAGCAGGACAAGTGGCCAGCGGGATGAGTTGCTGCTATGGATGGACAGTGGCTGCTGCTGCTGCATGACGACTGGTCGCAACGAAAAAAGAAAAATCGAAGATTGACGAGGCTGCCCAGGAACAGAAATGGATCTACCTAGGGGCAGCGCAGTTTATAAAAGGGTGGTGGCTGGATCAAAAAAAAAAAAAACCTTGAGCTTTGGTACCATGTTACAAATAAAGAGACTAAACTGAATGATACTACCGAGACCCAATAGAAACTATATATAGAGTATATGAGGGTCACAAGAGAGAAACCCTAGACTAGGATATTACACTAATACCCCTAACTATTATACCTTAACAAGAATATCTCCTTCCCACTGCAGTAGAATGTTGATAATCAGCATGTCTCGAGGCTTACAAAGTCTTGCAGCGTCTCGAGGCTTACTAAGTCTGGTTCATACTCTAGAAAGTTAGCCTACAAGGCTTTTTTCCTTAGTTCCATCCGTTTTGCTCCTTGGAAGCGAATTTGGAATCTTGGACTCCTCTTCACTGTAAGTTTTCCATTTTGCTTGAAGTAAAAAAAAATCTATTGGACAAAGTTCTAGAAGGTGGCGTCGAGGTAGGGGGCACGGCTCTCATGATTACCGAGGAACTTATGTTCCAAGGCGAGCCAAACTGTGTGGGCGATACTCCGGTGTTCCCGGACGATCTCCTTGAGATCGCTGGAGATTGTGCTGTAAATCCAGGACAGGACAATGCAATCCATGTGTGCCTAGTCTGGGAAGGTGGGATGACAGTATTGTCGAGGACGTGACACTAAAGAGAGTACTTCCCGAGAACGAGAACAAATAGGCCACGCCAACAGGTGTAGTTGTTGGTGTCGCTGTGAAGGATGGTGGGAACAAGGCTGCTAATGTTTTGCACGCCAACAGCTTAGGCATGAAGATTGATGACAACAACGGTCTCACAGACCAGCATCCGTCCTGAACGGGAGCCAACAGGAGTGGCTGATTTGAAGTCATTGGCAAGTTGTCATTGGGATCGAAGAGGTAGTTATGGATGGTGGCATCCACAGCAGCCTCAGTAGCCAGCCACGTGAGGGCATCGCAGGCGCGTGTAGCAGCCTGGACACAAACAAGGGTGGCCTTGGCCTGTGCCACTTGTTTAGCCAGCGTGCTTGCGAGCATCCGTAAAGGCAATGGCAGCCATGCACTAGACACCCTCAGCGGCGGCGGCGGCAGTGCGCTTTTGGGCCTCCTTGTCAGCAAAGACGGCAGTGGTAGTGGCGGCTACTGAAAGGGAGATGGAAGATTTGTGGGCTATGAAGGGAAGGAGAACTTGCGGAATTGAGAGGTTGGCACGGACAAAGTTTTAGAAGGCGGCGTCGAGGTAGAGGGCACACAAGTCTCACGATTACCGAGCAATTGATGTTCCAAGGCGAGCTAGACTATGTGGGTAATGGTGCGGTGTTCTTGGACGAACTCGTCAAGACCGCTGGAGATTGTGCTATAAATCTAGGATAGGACAATGCAATCCATGCATGCCTAGTCCGGGAAGGTAGGATCGGTAGTGTTGTCGAGGATGTGGCACTGAAGAGAGTACTTCTTGAGAACGAGAAGGAACTAGGTGCGCTAGTGGATGTAGTTGTCGGTGTCGATGTCGAGGATGGTAGGGACAAGGCTGCTGAAGGAGAGCCAACAGGAGCGGCTGATTTGAAGTCATCGGCGATATTGTCCTCAAGATTGGAGAGGGCATCGTGGGCAGCAGCAGCCGCCCGCATGAGGGCGTCGCGGGCATGTGCAGCAGCTGCATCCTCATGCTCGGCAACTTGGACACGAACAAGGTTGTGCCGCTTGTTTTATCCGCGTGCTGGCGAGCCTCCACATCGTGGCAGCAGGACGCTTTTAGGCCTCCTCATCATCAAAGGCGGCAGCAGCCGCCACGGTCGCCGAAGGGGAGACGGAATATTTACTCCACATGAAGGGAAAGGGTGGATGCATCGTGAGGGAATCACAGGCGGAGGAACACAGCAACAGCAAGGACCCACCCAGGATTGGATGGGCAACCAAGGGGGCACACTAGGGCAGCGGAAGAATCAGGGGGTTACCCAAACTCGTGGTACCAAGAAAGCAATGAAATTGCATGGGAAAACAGTATATTGATTTGAGGCTGCGGAGAACATGCGCATATAAAGGTAAGGATGATTTAGGATTGATTTATAGAAGTGTGACCAGTGTCGGATATCCTTGCCTATCATGACTAACAACTAATCCAGAGAAGCCGCAATGGGCTCAAGGGCCAGGTTGGCTAGAATAGGAAGATGGCCCAAGGGCCTAGCTGACTACATGTCTAATAGGTGGGTGAGAGTCTCCCATTCTTGGTCACAAAGCACACAATTGCCATTATTAGGGTATCCATAGTGTCAGAACCAGTCCTAAGTCTAGCAATGACCATGGAGAACAAGCCACACAGGAATTGGATTTGTTTAGGGCCTTCGTGACCCTGTCTTCCCAAATCGCTTCACCCAAGCAAGGATGTGTGGCCTAGAAGGAGAGCTTGGTATGCCCCACTCCACTCTGACATGAACAAGTCGAGCCAGTTGGATAGCATGACCTGGTTGACCCTCTCCGAGAGACACATGTGGAACCATGAGGCCACCACTTATGTTCCATACCCATAATTGTCAGTGAATAAGAGATTAGGCACGAACTCCACAACCAAAAGGCCATCTAACCACCTGTCCCTCCAGAAGAGAGTGGAGACCCCGTACCCAACCTCGGCCGATAAGCAAGTATCAAAAAAAGGTTTTTACGTCACTTTCGACTTCCATGTGGAAGGCGACCTAGGTACACAAGCGTGATGATTCAATCTAAAGTTACGATACTTCATTTCATTTGATAATTGATACTATCTGAAGCATAGAATAAGTGGGTAACAGACCTACTGCCCCAATATTAATGAAGGTGCCCTTTGCCCCATAGTCACCCCAGTCCATGAATTCCAAAATTTTTCTGGTTCCTGCCAGTTGGAGTGGGATGCCAGCAAATGCACCTTGCCCCATGGAGCCTTGAACACAGACCTGGTATCAAGTGACTAGTCATGTAATTTTGTTACTAGGGGAGGAGAAAGGAGGGGGCGGCTGAGCAATAATATATGCATTTGTTGCAAGGATAATCACCTTGACACGTTTTCCATCGTCTGCAAAGGATAGAGAAAGTTCTCTTACAAGTTCCATAAGGGTTCCTATGCGATAAACATCCTGCCAATAAAAAGAATTTGGTTGCAGTTAAAATCAGCAGTGTTTTCTGACAGACATTACAAAATATATATGTATAACCATGTGTACTCTTACCATTTCAGGGTTAAGCTCAGGAATATTGATATCTATCTGCATGTTTGGGGGAGGGAGGACAGAGATTAGCATATATCAGTTTATTCTTAAAAAAATAGGTAGCCAAACTGGAAATAAGAATTAGATTGTTTTCAGTTACATGAATTAATCACATGAAGCTCTATGCAACAGAAACAGAATAAATAAATAATACAAGGTGTGTTACGTCCTACTGTAATTCTAATCTTTTAAACAAATTAACATAAATGGAAAAGATAAGTAGCAACCTGTAACCGAGTCTTTTTATCTTCAATAGCAAGTTTTGTAGCTTGTACCACATCGTTGTAGAAGTATTCCCTAATTTCCCTAGAATGTGGAATGTTATTCAACCTTGTTGGAATTCCACGCCACTCCTGGTTCACGGCCGTAGGGTGCATATGATGAACCATACAGATCCAAATCTTTGTAGTTCACATTAAAAAATCTTGCACAAGTCAACAAGATGAAACTAAAGTATTATCTTGTGCATACATTTTTTGAAACTCTATCCACAGAATCTGCTCGTTTTCCTATAATAGAAAAAAGGTTTGATCATTTCCTATTAATAATAGGAGTGTGTGTTAATGCAACTGTTAGAAAAATAAAAACAATTAGAGCTGAAAAATACAATGCTTGATCAGTAAAATGTATCAAAATTCCTGTGATTTATGGGTTAAAAAAAGAATGCAAACTTAAAGTGCAATACCATGAAACAGTAGCTAAATATGGCACCAAAGTTTTTTTTTTTTGAAAATAAATACAGCAGGGGAGGCCCCCACTGATAGGATTTATTTAATTAAAAGAAAAGCATAACAATTGTACAACTATACAAAGAACACAAGAAGGGGAAACTAAACAGACAAGAAAACAAGGCCAGAGAGAGGCCAGAGAGCTAGAAAACAAGAGCTGCCCAGGGAAAAGACCCACCAACATCCTCCCAGGGAGACTAAAAAGGACAAAAAAGACCGAACATTTAGAGTCACATAATCTAACAGCTTGCATTTTAGCTTCATCTAGAAAACATTGCTTCCACAAGTTGAAGGAAGGGCCGAGGGCGGCCTTGATCAAAGATAAAGTTGTTCCTTTGCTTCAAAATTTGCCAAGCTCCTATGATGAATGTTAAGTATATGAAGGCCCATCTAATATAGGCTCATATGACCCATGAGGCTCTATATATATATAGCTATCTCCACTACTAGAGTGATCATCTTCTCAAATCTCAAAGGTTAGTAACATGGTAACAAAGCAAGGTTTAGGGGTCGAATTAGCGCTCATCTAATCCCTAATCACCCAAGATCCATTTTTTTCCCAGCTGTGGATCGGCTTGTCGCCGTTCGCCCTGTCCGTCTTCGTCACACGCGGGCTCATCTGTTCTTCGCGCGGATCGGCCTATTGCCGTTCGCCTCGTCCGTCTTCGTCACGCGTGCATCTTACCACGCGCAGGGCCGCGTTGCGGGTCATCACACGCGGTCAGCGCGTATCGCGCCTGTCTGCGCGCGTCGCGTCCGTGAGTGCCGTCCGCGGCTCGTCTTCTGCGCGAGCGGCGTCCGTGGCCCGTCTTCTGCGACACGGGGATTCGTCGTCCGCTCGGTGTCGTCCACGCCCCTTCTCCTGCGAGCGCGTCTTCGTCCGCGTCGTGTGTGGGCCGCCCGTGCGATCTTCATCCAACAGGTCCGCCTGTGCGCGCGTCTGCGCTTGTCTGTGCGGTCTCCCACTCGTTGTCCGCCCGGCTTCCTGCTGACCGACCGTGGAGATGTGGACTCCTCCAACCGGCTTCATCCTCTTCTTCCGCGGAGACAATCTCCTGCTGCTGCTTTCAAGCACGGTGGTAACAGACTTCTCTCACTGTTGGTTGGTGCTCGAAATTTTCAGTAATGTCTCAGATCAACACTATTGTTATCAATATTACCCTTGATGGTCAGAATTATCCAGAGTGGGCATTTTGTGTGGAAACTGCTTTAAGGGGTCATGGGCTTATTATATATAGCATTTGATATTATACCATTATAATTCCATAACTATTATGTAGCACGTGACAGTTACTACCAATGATAATAGTTTTTTTTGCCAAGAAAAAATCATAGTAGCGAACTGAAAAGGTGGACTTAGCTGATGTTATTATCACCATTTGCCAAGAAAAAATCATAGTATCAATGACGGCATAAGTTATTAGTAGAGGACTTAATGCTCTCACCATTTGTTTTGGTCAACTTGTTGGCTGAAGTGTTTTCACAGATCTTCTGTAACAGGGAATCTATCTCCTGAAAAACAACTTCGGCTAGGCAGTTTCCATCAATCTATATTCTTGCACAATATAGCAACAAAGGATTACTTTCAATCTATACTTTCGGTTGCTCTGGTAATGACTAGGAATACACAAGAACCTGATTAAGCAAATCAGAGTATGTAGGAAGAATAGCTTCAGAATTTTGCTTGTACGTATCAAGGCGTGATTTAACCTGCAAAATAAAGAAGAAAATTACAGTTCAGGAAAGACATGCCACCATTAAGGTAATATTACTACATCATAAAAAAAGAGGCCTTTGAAACCATGTAAGTAGTTAAGTACACTAAGCCAATTGGCATGGCTCAGTCCTGTCGCAAAAATGTTGATGTTACAAGGAACACTATCTTATATTGTTCAAAATTGTCCTTCACAAATGCCAACAGCATTTTACAAAATACAAAGAAATTCTAGCAAATCAGGTTCTCAAAGTAGCACTAGAGATGTACCAAAATCTCGCAGCCCCATAGCCCGGCCCAAGCACGGCATGCCCTAGCCAGCCCGGCCTAACAACCAGGGCTCACCGCTCCCCAGGCAAGCGGCACGGCATGGCCCATTTTTTCGTCAGGCCACAAAGGCCCGTGTGTGCGTGTCTAAGAGTAGAAAGCAATTTCCATATATATATATATATATATATATATGTATGTATGTATGTATGTATGTATGTATGTATGTATGTATGTATGTATGTATGTATGTATTCCTATCCCTGTCGCCTCCGCCACCATAACCCCTCAGCCTCTCGAGTCTCGCCCCCATTCCCAGTAGCCACTCATCTACCTCGCTCGGCACCACACCGCCGCCTCCTAGGCTCCTCTTCGCCCGACCTTCCCAGTGCCCGCTGCCACCACCACCCCGCCAAGAGCTCCTCCCGCGCAGTTGCCACACCCCGCTAGACGCCGCCTCCTCCCCATCTGGTGAGGCCGCCTGCTCCAGGTTGCGGGCTGGCCTGGCCTGCAGGGCCTGCCGCCGGGCCAGCTTGGCGCGGAAAAAGGCCTGGCGTGCCATGTCCCGGGATGGGCTGGGCAACCCATATAGCCATCTATAAGTAGCACCATATATTTGAATTAAGGGCCGTTCCTACCATTTTGTAAGCCTAATAAAAATTGTTTGGTTTATACTTATTGTGCTTAACTTAGAAGGATGATAGGTGCTCACTTCTGCTTCTGCTTGCTCCATAAACCAGAAACTTTTACATAGGATCTTTGATCTTCCGATGACAGGAAACAAAACAAAAAGTTACTAAGTGGGCATCAACAGAACCTTCTCAAATGTGTCGTCAGAACGTGTAATAAGTCGGGCAGAAATCTCCTCATTCTCCGGGGGGAAGTTTGTTAAATGGTAAATCTTGCCAGTCACAGGATCCAGCAGTCTTCCAACACATCTGTCGATTAGAACGTCATCAGGAACCTGAATTCAACAAAAGAAAATAATGAAATGAAAGGGGATAAAGGCATCTGTGGCTACAATGCCCCAAAAGAAAGTTATTTGTATTATTGTGTAACACAATGTCAGGTAAGAGCAGGAGAAAAAAAAGCATGGTACTATATTCTCACTCGATTAAAACTGTAGTATTTCAACAAAAAAAATTGCATAATATATCCACAGATGCATACATGACACTACTCTGCTGCTGTGTGCTAACACACAGGCATGCAGTCATGCACATTGGTTCAACACAAGTTATCCAAGTACAAAAATAATTGATGAAAAAAATATGGCCTGATAAAGAACTGAATATATATAAGATTCCACATTAACTTTAAGTCACTTATTTTCGAGCTAATGTATAAATTCACTGCACAAAATCATGGACTATTAAGAATTCATAAAATAAAAATCTGAATTGATGACATATTAAGCTCCATACTAGAAAGGTTTTTAAAGAAAAGGTTCAAGCATGCTTCATTTTGTGGACACTTTGATCTGTAAGAATTGCACAAACAAATGTAATATTCAAAAACGATTACAGCCATTCCTAAAAACAAAAAGCATGGCTAAAATTTTGGCAGTGCAATCAAACACACCGGCATACAACCGTCAAAACTAAATATTAGAAGCACATGTCAGTGTATATAGTACTCATCATAAATAGTTAGTTTTTGACTTACTTCTAGCACAATGAATATATCCGGTCTTATTTTCAGATTTTCAAGGCTTTGTGCTTGACTGAAGCTCCTTGGGTAACCATCAAGAAGCCACCCTCTTTCTTGTACATCCGGTTGTGACAATCGTGATACCACCATCTAAATAGCAGGAAATTAGATAGTTCCAAGAAATCTACCATCTAAAAAGAGCGTATGTGTGACAAATAAGCCACATACATCTGTCACAACTTGATCCGGAACAAGCTTTCCGTTGTCCATGTATTCTTTTGCTTTCTTGCCAATTTCTGTGCCAGAAGATACTTCAGCTCGCAGAAGATCACCAGTTGATATGTGAACTAAACCATACTACATCAAAGGAAAAACAAAAGAAATTGGCATTAGAAGACTCTCAAACAACATAAATTTTGCTACAGCCACTCTTCTCCTAAATAGCCGTTTACCCTGCCGAACGAGTGTTTAGCCTGTTTAAACAGTCACAAACCATTTAGCCTGAATAAATGGCTAAACAATAGGTGACCGACTAGGTTCAGCATTTAGGTGAACACAGGATCTAGCCCAAAACTAGAGTTTAAAAACAGGGCAACATATAAAGGGACAGTGCATCGCTGGTGTCTAATAGGTGGGTCTTATGTAGTGCCGTGTAATCTTGAGGTGACTTAACAGACAATGTGTATAATGGTTATCTTTTAAGTTGTCTCATAGCAACTCATAATTCCTTAATTGTGCATAGACCAAAGGAATTTTGTGAGTTGCATGGCAACGACAATAGTGATGCAAAGGTTGTCTCATAGTCATAATTAGCTTATGAGACAGTTATTTCGTGAAACAATGACCTCTTTCTCTCATCTCCTCTATTTCCTCCACATCATCAAAAACCTACATGACACTGCATGAGATGACATATAAGACCACTAACATGTAGCAATGTACTTGCATTGGAGAACATGAGTAAACTTTAAGTATTTAAAACCTTGACCTGCGGGGGTAAGACTGCCCCACCGATATACAGCGGCAACATATCCCATGTGAGAATGACCATGGCAGGGCCGGGCATCCCCCGAGCAGTGCACTAACAAGACCTTCTCACGCAGGTTGAGAAAATCATTGAGCCTAGCACTGTAGCTCGTGTGAGAATGACCACGACCAGGCCGGACCTTAGACATGTGCTCGCAAGTCGAGACCATGTGAGAATGACCAGACCAAGACCACTAACATGTAACAATGTACTTGCATTGAGGAACATGAGTAAACTTCAAGTATTTAAAAACTCAACCTACGTGGGTAAGGCTGCCCCACCTATACATAGCGGCAACATAGCCTATGTGAGAATGACCACGACTAGGGCCGGATCTTAGACCTGTGCTTTGGCATGGGACAGATGAGGGGATTTTTCCCCAGGCATTGCACTAAGAAGACCTTCCTGTTGGCCAGGTAACACACACACAAGTGGGGAATTTTAGTTCTGCCAGAGGGCAGCTTGGCCATAGGCCGCTTGTTGCATTATACAACAAAAGCAAACTTGGGTTACAAGAAGGTCTCAACCACTACAGAATATGCTAGCTGCATAAAGCAGATACTACTTAGATGCTAAGGCATCAGCTGAAAACAGCAATACAGTGAATAGTAAATAGCTAAAGTAGATAACTAGATACATTAGAGAGTAGCACTAGGCTTAACCCTCATTTCTCCCCCTAAGCCTTGTGCTCAACCTTGGAGGTGATCTGTTTTAGCCCAATCCTCTCCCTCATCTCTTGGAACTTGGCCTTGCCCAGCGACTTGGTGAGGATATCAGCCAACTGATCAGTGGTTGCAATGTGGTTGGCCTTGATGCTTCCATCTTCCAGGCAGCTTCGGATGAAGTCGTACTTGATCCTGATGTGTTTGTTTCTCTCATGGAAGACTGGATTCTTGGCCAGAGCTAGAGCAGACTTGCTGTCCACCTTTAGCTCTCCCAGCAGCCATGACAACCATAGAGCTTGAGTTGATGCAGTGGTGGTGGCGATGTACTTGGCTTCATAGCTTGATAGAGCCACCACCTTCTGCTTCAGGGATTGCCAGCTGACAAAGCAATTGCCGAGGAAGAACATTGTTCCGCTCGTGCTCTTGCTTGTGTCAAGGGCGCGTTGTGCCGGGCGCCCTAGTGTAGTGAAGACCGTAGTTGAGGGTGCCCGCCACATACCAAAGAATGTGCTTGATAGCCAGTTGGTGCTCCACCGTGGGCCGCTCCATGAACCGGCTCACGAACCTGACGGCGAACGCCAAGTCCGACCGAGTGTGCACCAGGTAGCGCAGACTGCCGATGAGCCGCCAATAGTGCATGGGATCGACCTCTGCCGTGCTGTGCCGACTGAGCCTCAGTCGTTCCTCCATTCGAGTGTGGGCTGGATTGTAGCCAACCATGCCGCCAAGCTCGAGGATGCGCTTGGCGTAGTGCGTCTGGCGGAGGGTGATGCCATTGGCATCCTAGCGCACCTTGATGCCGAGGTAGAAACATAGGAGGCCGAGGTCGCTCATGTCGAGCACCTTCTTCATCTGCGCCTCGAACGCCTCCACTTCTCGTTCCTCCGCGTCGGTGATGATGAGGTCGTCAACGTAGATGCCGCCGAGCACGACAGAGGGCCCGCTGCCCTGCCGGTACATCCCGCCTCATGCGCGCTTTGCTGGAAGCCCATCTCCATGAGCGTGGCGTCCAGCTTTGTGTTCCAGGCGTGCGGAGCCTACCGAAGACCACAAAGAGCCTAGCGGAGGCGGTAGACCTTGCCTTCTTCTCTGGCAACGGCGAAGCCTAGTGGCTGCTGCATGTACACCTCCTTGAGGTCACCGTTGAGGAAGGCAGATTTCACATCCATGTGGTGGACGTGCCAGCCCTCTTGAGCCGCCAGCGCGAGGAGGACTCGGACCGATTCCATGCACGCCACCGGAGCGAACGCATCGTCGTAGTTGATCCCCTCTTGCTGAACAAAGTTGTGCGCCACCAATCGCGCCTTGTGCTTGATCACCGCGCCCAGCTCATCCTTCTTGAGCTTGAACACCCACTTCAGGGTGATAGGGCGGTGGCCATCGAGCACCAGCTCCCAAGTGTAGTTCTGTTCGACGGACTTGAGCTCCTGTTCCATTGCCGCCTGCCATGCTGGATCACCTTGTGCCTCAGCATAGTTGGCAGGCTTCGCCAGCGTGCATCAAAGTGCAGCTCGGCGAAGGGACGCTGCGCCAGAGGAGGCGGCGGCTGATCACCGATGATGTTCGTCATCGTGCGGAAGCGTAAAGGCTCGTCGTCGTAGTAGGCATCCAAACGATCCTCGCTGTCCTCCAGTGGCGTGGCATACTCCACTTGATCGCCAAGGGCCGACGATGCCGGTGAGGTAGGTGAAGCAGAAGCTAGGGACGCGGGGGGTGTGGCGGTTGTGGTCTTTGGAGTAGCCGCTGCTGCCGATGTGCCTCCGGGCTCCCTCGGATTTGGTGACGGCGAGCACGGCGCAGGTGGTGGTGTAGGCGACGCTGATGATGTAGGTCCAGCTTGCCACTGGAGATGCACTTTGTGCTCCCCCTGCTCCTCCAGGCCACCAATACTCGACGGTGAACTCACTTGCCGCCGATGCGAAGCCACGAGGATCTGGCTTGGACCAGTCCTAGCCACGGCCTTTGTCAAAGACGACGTCGCGGGCCACCTTCACGTGCTACATCGCCGGGTCCAGAATGCGGTACGCCTTCTCTCCTTCTGCGTACCCAATGAACACACTGGGCTTGTTGCGATCCTCAAGCTTCTCGAGTTGGTTTAGCTCCTTGGTTTAGGCGACGCAGCCGTTGTCGGTGCGTAGCACCCGAAGCTTGTGGCTGCTCTCCTTCTCCGTCGCAGCCTGGACTTGCTTGATGGCGTCCGCAGCAGCATCCTGGATTGGATGAGTTTCTACTCTTTCCCTATTATTTGATTGTCTGGGTTTTTAGATTATTAACTTGTCTCTTTAATGGTTAGCTGCTGTTGGATCCAAGAAGCCAAGGAGGAAAGAAGCCAACAAGTGTGCAGCAACAGCAAGAGGTATGTTCACTAGTTAGTACTTACTACCAATGTTGCTCTCAGCAGCACAAAAAAAAACACAAACGATTAATCATGTTTAATCTTCCTAGGCACTAGTCAGTAGGCTAGCGCCTAGCGTTTTCTTGAACCTTGACTTGGAGTTCATACTATACATCGATTCATTTATTATTTTTCCAATCTGTTGCACCTTCTTGAAGCACAGACACTCTACTCTAACAAGGATCCTAAGAATAAGTCATTTCAGTTTGTGCTGTTGGCTTAAGGTGAGGAATTGCCAAAAGTTCCTAACTGTAGAAAACAACAAGAGGCCAAGGTCTAGGAGGTCATCTGAAGAAGGTGGTGAAGAAGACGACGACAATAGTAGTAAGAGTGTAACTCAAAATTCTGATGCATAACAACCTAATCCTAAGAAGAGACCAATAGGCAGGAAGCAAGCACAAGAGAAATTGAAGAGTGGATGAGAGGCTGGACCATACAAGGAGGCGAAAAATGAGGATAGGAAACTGAAGGAGGACAGGTAGAAGGAGACCAAGGCGCTTGAAGAGGCGAAGCTTGCACACAAGAAGGACAAGTTGATGTGGGAGCAATTACAAAAGTTAATGTTTTGTGATGTCAGCATCTTGGAGCCTGATGTGAGAATGTATGTATTAGCAATGAGGGCTTCAAAGATGGCTGCCTTCAATGGTGGATATGGTGATACTAGCTCTAATGGTGGTGATTCTAGTGGAGATGGCAACGGAGGCAACATTTGATACAGGTGGTCTACTTGTCATGCGTTTTTGTATAAGCTTATATGCGGTGTATGCAGCCATTTAAACCATTAATGGTTGGCACATGAACTATTTGTTGGAGACAATCTCATGCTCTTTTTGATGTAGTGTCAAGTACGTAAATTACATAGAGTATATGTTTGAAAAGGGTGCGAAATAGAAGTAGGGGCCCTGATTTGAGGGCTCCTGCTGGAGTTCAATTGAAAATTCAGGGCCCTCAAAAGTAGGGGGAGCCCTCAAATCAAAAGTAGGATCCCTGCTTTTCAAATGGTCTCTCCATGATGCTTTTGACCAAGAGGGTGATGGGGCGGCTCTGGTTTAGCTGTTCCTGTTATTTTGTGTTAATTGGTAGTTTTCTTTCAGTCTCTATGGACCTTCCAAAATCTTGATATGGAATGTAAGGGGGCTCAATTCTTCATTGAGACAGGACTCTTTGCGCACCATAGTGGATTCCTCACGGTCGGATATTGTGTGTATTCAAGAACAAAGATGTCAGCTATAACCCAAAGGGTTCTCCTATCTGCTCTCGGGTCTGGTTTCTGTGATTGTGTCGAAGTCCCTTCCTTGGGAGCCAGCGGCGGCATATTGGTAGCATGGCGCAGTCATTTGGGGACAACCGGAGCTCTGCGAGTAGACAACCACAGTGTCTATGGTCCACAAGGTAATGAGGAAAAAGTGCAATTTTTGCAGGAACTGTGTGACATCAGAGAAGCTTGCCCTGGACCATGGATGATAGCTGGGGACTTTAATTTCATCTATAAAGATGAGGCCAAGAACAACTCCAATTACAATCGAGCTATGATGGGATGCTTCAGACGATTCATAAATGATCTTGCCCTAAAGAAATACCTCTCCATGGTCAGAAATTTACATGGTCGAACATGCAAAATTCACCTACCTTGGTCAAACTGGATAGGGTGCTATGCTCAGTTGATTGGGAGGAGGGAGAGATTCCCTAACTATCTTCTGCAAAGCTTGAGTTCACATGACTCGGATCATTGTCCCCTACTGCTCAGTCTCAGAGATAACAAGGCAGGTAAAAGGTGTTTCCATTTTGAATCCTTTTGGCCTAAGCTCGATGGCTTCCAGGAAGCTGTTGCTGCAGCCTGGGGTTCTGTTCCCGCTGGACTTTGTCCCTTCATAACTCTGGATCTGAAGCTTAAGGCAGTCAAGGGCTGCAAAGCTGGAGCGCCAGGAATGTTGGCCACATTAATTCACAGCTCGCTCTAGCCCGGGAGATTCTACATCAGTTTGAGATTGCCCAGGACTCCCGTGCCCTGTCTCCTGGAGAAGCCTGGCTGAAAAATAATCTCAAGAAACACAGCCTTGCCCTTGCTTCCCTCCAAAGAACTATTGCCCGACTCCGGTGAAGGATTGGCTGGTTGAGGGACGGGGATGTGCAAACACAAAGCTATTCCAACTTCATGCTCGACACAGGAAGAGGAAGAATCTAGTTACTAGGCTGGTTGCAGATGGGCAAATATACACCAATCATGAGGACAAAAGCTAGAATTGCTGATGATTTCTATGAGGGCCTGCTTGGGACTTGCATGGATAGAGAGGGCACCATTAATCTGACAGAACTAGGTCTCATTGCTCTAGACTTGGCTGATCTTGAGCAGTCATTCACAGAAGAGGAAGTTTGGGCAACAATCAAGCAACTCCCTTCAGACAAAGCTTTGCAGGTCGCTTTTACAAATCCTGCTGGCCAATAATCAAATCTGATAACATGGCTGCTGTTTCGGCAATATGGAGCAGAAAATTCATGAATTTTGGGATTCTCAACACAGCCTATATAACTCTCCTCCCCAAAAAGGAAGCTGCAGACAAACCCAAGGACTTCCGGCCAATAAGCCTAGTCCACAGTTTTGCCAAGTTAATTAATAAATTACTACCGAATCATCTTGCACCAAATGGTGTCACCAAACCAAAGCGCGTTCATAAAAGGGTTCTTAACCCTTCTTTCTTCTTAATGTAATGAAGCACAGCTCTCCTGTGTTTTTCGAGAAAAAAAAGGGGCCCTGCCTTTTTTTGAATCTTGGGGGCCCTGATTTGAGTGGTGTGAGTTGTAAAGGGTTCTTAACTCTTCTTTCTTCTTAATATAATGAAGCGCAGCTCTCCTGCGTTTCTCAAGAAAATAAAAGGGCCCCTGATTTGAGGGCTCCTGCTAGAGATGCTCTAACCCCAGCCTGAAAATTCACTCCCACGAGGAGTCGAACTCAGGACCTAAGAAGTGCTACTTAAGCCACCTAGCCAACTTAGCTAGAGGTCATTTCGCAACCTTTTTCTCATGAATGCAAAAAGCCTGACATTCTTAAGCCAATTAGAGAAGTCTAGAAGCATTTTTATGTTAAATGATCATATGGATATTTTCATAGGGTTTATTTCGATAATCCCCACTATTCCTTACTATTATGCACTAATGCGTAGATTCAGATATCTGCATATATATTTGATTTAAAAAAAAGATATATGCTATTGGCACAACATAACTAATTCGCAATTTAGCATTAACACGTTCACATGGTCAAGTATGGTTCACATAAAATCTAGATTCTCGAAGAATTGGATCCAACATAAACAGAATGAGCATTCCGATTAATTGGCACTGAAGAAAATGTGGGCACAAAGCAAAACGAAAACAATAATTGGTCCCACATTTCACCTTCTCGACGATCATGCGGCATTGCGTTCCTTTTCCCGACGCGGGCGCTCCCGAGATCATCACCTTGAGCGGAGGCTTACCGCGCGCTGGCGGTGGCGACTCCTCCGCGGCCTGGCACCTTAGTCCCAGACCCTAACAAATTCCACACGCATAGACAAAAGCGATTCTACCAATCGGTCAGATAAAAGCGGATCAAATGCGACGCACAAGCAGACATCGGGGATCAAAGAAACACCAAACTGAATCGTAGTTACGAACTCTGGGCTTGGGTTTGAGGCCGGTGGATACGGAGACGGTGGAGATAGCCGGTGAGGAGGAATCCGAAAGAGGCGGGTACCAGGAAGGCGACGGTGAGAGGCAGAGGGTCGAGAAGCCGGGGCCGCGGTGGGTACCGGGCGCGGCGAGAGGAGGAGAGGCCATGGCCGGGGAGGAGACCGCCATGTGCGCGGTGAGGGTGGGAAGGAGAGCGATGGACCTCGCGTGCGTTGTGTGGAGGGAAAAACAGAGGAGAGGCATAGGACATCGGAGGACGAGGATTTTGCGGATCAGGGTCCCGTCGCGTGTGGACCTAGTGGCACGTGGTACCAACCAGACAATAGAGAGTGATCCAATGACGGCCGCTGCGCATTTCCTAAATTATTTTCCACTCCAAGTATTACTTTCAAAAAAAAAATCCACTCCAAGTGATGATTTCAGTGAGGATTTAAGTCTAGTTTCATTCGTATTAAATAAGCTGCCATGTAGCATTTTTTATGACGTGGTACTATATTTAAAATAGGGAAGAAATCAGTTTTATAGCTCCTAGCACAGTTACCAACTCGCAATGAGTCATGTAATTAAACGTTTATGAAACTCTTGAATAAAATTAAGCATTGAGAGTGATAGTTTCATTCAAGTTTCATTGTATTTTATTTGACGTGGCATTCTTGAAACAACGTTATAAAACCCACCATTGAGACTGACCTTAGTCGCATGTTAATTAAGATATTTAATTGTGGTATTTTTAATAAAGCTACAAAAAATATGGACAGATACAGCAGAAGCTATTTCATTTGTTGGTTTTATAGAAAATATAAAAAAATTAATTAATTGTGTATGAAAACATTTAACCAAACAAAATTTTATGAACTTAAATATATAGGATCTATAAGAACATGCCTTTACATCCATCCCTTAATATTCACCGTATCATCACCGTCGCGATTAACATTCATATTTATTCATATTCAATTATTAATAGTTTGACAATAAAAAATGGCTAAAGGACATTGCGATGAGGTTTATAACAACAAGAAGATCCCAAAGCATGTTTTGGATTATAGTTCGGGGAGAGAAAGATCAAAAGCAAGTGAGCTTCTCTGCCAAACCGGCCTGGTCGGGCACCCTTACCGGCTAGGTCGGTTGCCTTCGTCGTGGGTCGCCACCTGCTGGCCCTATGCTGCTGGCCGCTGTCAAATCGGCCTAGCCAGCTTGGGAACCGGCTAGGGCAGCCAACCTAGGCTACTGGTTGCCCCTTGCTGTTGGCCGCTACCGAACCGGCCTAGTTGATTTCGGAACCGGCTAGGCTGGCCTGCCTGCTCGTCGCTTGCCCAACCGGCCAGGCTGGTCTCCATGCGCGCCTAGCCAGTCGAGCCACCCCCGCCCCCATGAAAACCATCCTAGCCGGTTTGGGACTTGGCTGGGCCAGTTTGCCTATACAAGTCCAAATCGAAGACTTTCCAATTCGGTGTTTGGATGTAGTTTTACATAGAAAACTTGGAGATTATGATTTAGACTCGTTTTCTATTGGGATAAGAGTAAAGATGGCAATGGGCCCTCATCCCCGATCTCTGATGGGGATTTCATCCATTAGGGAACGAAGATGGTGGTTTTTGATCCCCGCGGGGGTTAAACAGGAAAAAAGAGATCCACATTGGGTAAGGCGGGGATGGGAAGGTTCCTGGCAGCCCCATCCTCAATCCTCGTCGAGGACCCTTTAGTAGTTGTGTAACTCAAATATCCTATATAGGCCTGGCCCAACAAATGTTTACTGGCCCAATTCGTGAGCCCAACTATAAAGTATAAAAGCAAAATCACTTGTAACCCTAGGATTCAGACTCCACTCCCCCCTATCCAGTCAAGCTGTCAGTCGTTGCACATGCTTGGTCGCTCCGTTCCCTAGCAATGTCGCGATGCAGGGCGTGTGGCCTTGCCCCTTGCTTTCGCTCGCCACTTCCTTTAATCGTTCCACCACTGTTCTATAGACGACAGATCGTAGTTCTGCTACCGTCGTGGCTTTGCGCCACGGTTCACTCCGCTTGTGCCCATCACCCTGTTCACCACTCCGCCCCTTCCCTCTCCCTCGAAGCTTCGAACTCGGGCCACTCTGCTAGCAGTGATAGAGAGAGACAGGGATCCAGCGATATCAGGGGAGTAGCTATCATGGTTGTGCCGTCGAGATCTACTGTCAGCGTAGAAGACGGCTGGTGAAAATCGCTTTAGGCATGTTGTTGTTGGTATAAGTTAATGCACACATAATGGTCCGCAAGCGCACGGATATTATACCGATGTAGCACTTCACAGAGAGTAACCCAATTTTATATCGAACTCAAGGAAACGTGTGTGAGATTAACCAAATCTAACTTAACCCAACTTCACAATCAAGGCTAGATAATAGGAGAAGTTTTGTCTTCTATTGTTCAATTCTGAGGATATTACTAGAGAAAACATAAGCAGAGTATGTTTCTTATAGTAACAATGTCCTGCTAGGCCTACTAACGGGAAGTGGACTATAAAAGATTCAACGAGGCTATAAGAGTCACCCTCGTGAGCTACCACTGATCCGAAAAGTAGGGTACATCCATGAGTAACCGAGTCTAAGCACCATGCTTACACTACGAATACTACATTAACCTAGGAGCTATAAGGATTAAAGTACTCAAAAGAGATTGGTAAACCTAAAGAACAATATGAACAAGATGCTTACTTGAATTAGAAGTCGATTATTAGAGAAATCTCATAAGCAAGCTCAAGAAGAACTTGATTCCGCTAGGGTACAGGCCATAGAGAGAGCACCGATAGGCCGGGACTCCTCTGAAACTCTTCCCTCTCACTCTCTCTCTATCACTAATACTAGACTAGATCCTATGAGGACTAATCTTCTCTTGGTTGCTAGCTCTAGTTCTAGTGGAAATATGGATTAGGGTTTTTGGCCCTCAGGCTCACAGGATCAAATGCATGGACTTGCCCTAGAGGGGGGTATAGGTAGGTATATATAGGCCAAAACATCAATCATGAGCCCTCGGATCAAACCGACTTGAATAAACAGCGGAGATGCAATCCTTAAGGCGGTGAAGAACCGACATAGCAACGAGAGGCTGGCAGGGCGACCCCATAGCCCGGGAGGCCTGCATGTGGGATCGACTGGCCCCACCTAGTAGGGGCTCAAGCTCTGCTTCGGTGGAGAGCCTTCTAGAGTCTTCTAAAGTCTTCCCACGTTGTTTATCCTATGGAATTATGCGTTTTCCTTTGACAAATAGGTTCTCCTTGGCAGTTTCTGATTAAATCTTACTGGAAAAACAGATTCACCAAAACTCATGGAATTTGTCAGTTTAAAATCCTAAGTCTATGTTGGTGATCCATTTTAATCATTATGCAAGGTATATTGGTGGTTTGTGATGAAGGTTAACTACCATCAATAAACTCCTCCACACTTAGGCTTTTGCTCATCATAGATAAAAGGATGGATTACTCATGACATAACCTTAGGACAAGATATCAACATAAAACAATTCCCAGTTATACATGCACTGCGGGATTCAAAGTGTCTACCATGAAACTTTGGGCGGTTGAAGAATAGAACAGCTTGAAACAGATCGTCATCTTCCTTCAGTCAAGTTAATTGGAGAAACATTTTAAGATTTTTGAAAACAAAACATAGTTTACCTTCTCCTTTTGTGGTACTCTCAAATCACTTTGTATATGTGGTATTTTTGGATCCTCACCAATGCATTGATGACTTTGCCTTCTTTTTGCCACTTCTAAAAGCTTATGTGGAGCTCAGGTTGGGATAAATATGAAAACATACTTGCATTGCATATATTGTAAAGTCAAAACAAGGATTCAAGGAGAAAAATGTCATACTCTTAAATCAAGACTTGCATGTGTGTGGATATGGATATGGTGGCTAACCTAATTCTACTATGCTCCTTGAAACATATATCTCTTTATTGAAACTTGAAACACTTTTGCAAGAAGTCATGGGCTATCTTATTCATCTTTCTTTCTTTCTTTTTTGTTTTTTTCAGGCGGGCATCTGAGTACCCATTGTTTTAAATATCTTGGACACTTGTCCATTTTTTCAATACTTTTCTTTTTCTTTCATGAATAACTCTTGCATAGCCCTTGCCTCTTCTTCTGCAATTGAAACTTTTCAAGAGAGGTATTCACAAAAACTTGGAGCATTTATCCTAACAATCTTATTTTTGTGTTTATTCCCAATGTAGGAGTAGAACATTTTTGGGTGGATGGAAAACATGTTGTTGCGTACCCCTAGTGTAGGAGCAACAGATATATGTGGAGTGTATGTGATCTTGATCTTGAGAGCATGATAAATTTCTCAACAAGGGTCACAAGGTTAGACCAAACTTAATACAATGGCAAGTAATATATGTAGAAGGTTTTCCTAGTCTATCATATTTGGCTCTGGTAGGTCATTGCTTACCACAAAGGAGAGGTGTAGCTATTCTTTTTATTTTTTGAAATAAAATTCTCCAATAACAAGACATCAAAAATCAAGTTCTCATTATTCTACTATATCTCATTCCACAACAACTTAAGTAGCATGTGGTCCCTAATAATAAGTTCCCAATAGTAGCATGACATCCAGAAAAAGTGTTATGTGAGTCTATCCATAAGTCATGACTGAAACAATCTTTCCTTAGGTTTTAAGTTGTTTTATTAAAGGATTTTTAATTCGGCTCAAAACAGAAAGTATAACATGTGAAAACAGAACATATGGGCCGCAAACCTGACCGTGGATGAAGCGCGAGGCAAGGGGGCAGAGATGGGTCGGCCAGCCA